CAGAATTCCCCAGCCATTCCCCATGCTGGCTGGGGAATTCTGGAAGTTGAAGTCCACTCATCTTAAAGTGGCCAAGTTTGGACAACACTGGTCTTGGTCATCAGCAATGGTATCAGCACCCCTTGTTTCTCCAACACAAATAGAAAACAATCATTTTCTATTGTGTCTATCCAAAGTTATAGATCAGGGACTATCTTTCTATTTATTAAATTTGCCCACTGCCTGACTCCCGACTACTCTAGCTGTGCTGGGAGGTAAATTTATTTTTGGTTTGCTTCATTCATTCTTTCCAAGTATCTTGCTGCATTTTTATGTACGTTTGTTTTAGCTGTGCCTTTTGAGAAATGCTTGTTTTATCTCAATGTGCCGGGACCGTTAACTACTTTGAGTAATCAGTACAGAGGCCAGTCCTAAATGTAGTAATAATTGAAGGCATCTGAGAAGCCAAAGCGTAAACCATCAATGCCATATCATGTTTTTCATATCATTTTTGGAGGATTCTAGTCCAGGAGAAACAGCTGGAACAAGAGAGGCATAGAAAAGGGAGAAAAGTCGCCCCAAAACACTGGTTGCACATCCATGTTCAAGAGAAGCCGCTGCTCATTCGGCTGGTAGGAATCATTTGCAGAGGAGCACTGCACTTAGTTTTTGGCAGCAAAACAACAAAGAAAGTAGGTTTACAGTTCCTACTAAATCTCAGATGGCTGGGATTACACATAACACCAAAAATAAGAAACCTATTTAAATGCCTTCCCATCAGTTAGGGTTTTTTTTAGATTTTTTTATCCCGCCTTTCTTATTTTTATAAATAACTCAAGGCGGCAAACGTACCAATATTCCTTCCTCCTATTTTCCCCACAACAACAACCCTGTGAGGTGAGCTGGGCTGAGGGACTGGCCCAAAGTCACCCAGCCGGCTTTCAGGCCTAAGGCAGGACTAGAACTCACTGTCTCCTACCCCCCCTCCAAAATTTAAAATGGTTGGAATCTCACAAGATGCAAATCTTTTTAAGATTTAGAAATGAAGCCAAACCCACCAAGATTGCCAGATTATTTTTGAAGCGATGACGGGGGTAGCCGTTTGCCTGGGATGGTCAGAGGATTCCTGCTCTGGGGAGCGGGTTGGGCCAGATGACCTCCAACGCGTCTTCCAACCCAAGGGTTCTGTGGCTGAAATCTTGCAACCCTGCCAAATCAAGATTTGGCCCTCTCCCCCTGAGATTTCAGCCTTTTAAAAAAGTAATTAAATTAAGTAGATAAAACTTCTTTTTATTACTTCTGCAACCCAGAGATGCCGCCTAAGGATATTGCTGTGTTGGGTTCAATGCAACATTTAAGCCAAATATGCATTTATTTTTTCTGGACTAACAATGGCACTTTGTCTTTGAATAATGTGCTGGGGGGGCAGTGTCGTTCTCCGAAGTATTGGGTGAGGCCAGGAAAAAAAATAATAAAACTGTTGTCATGTACATTTAGACGTAATTAAAATATGGTTGGTATAAGTGCCCTTCAGTCATGCACTTAATATTTATCTCCTGGCACAGTAACATTTGCAATTTGCTAATAGCTTTGGGGGAACATGGACAGGGGCAGAAGTGAGACCACAGGGCTAGACTAAACCAAAACACATTAGCGTCTTATGTAAATTGGTCTGGAGGTTTGCATACCATAAAAACTACAAATTTATCATGATACAGATGTCTTTGGTCCATGGCCTGCCTTGGACTGGAGGTACTGTATGGGGAAATCCCACTCTAAGATATTCTTAAAAACCTAAATAATCATTTTGCTGGGTTAGAGTGGTGTTTCTCAACCTTGGCAACTTTAAGATGGATACACTTCAACTTCCAGAATTGAGGGGAGTGGCTGGGGAATTCTGGGAGTTCATGCTGGCTGGGGAATTCTGGGAATTGAAGTCCACTAAACACTGGTTTAGTATCACAACATCAGGGTATCTGTGCCGGGTAGGGAGACATCAAAAAGTCAACACGGCAGCTACGAATCAGCAACAACTGATTCCTGCTTCCTTTTTTGCGCATCACAGGTAAACTGGTAATCCTGGTGTAATCCTGTAGTTAATTTGCATTCATAGAAGTGATGGTGATGATGATGATATTTTAGGATGTGAACAATCAATGGCCATGTTGCCTTTCCCTTAAATGATGGCCAATGAAGTGTCAATTAAAAAAAAAACAATAAATAAATACATCCTGTCATTTTCCCAGCAAAATTGGATTTAGGATCCTAAAAAATGAACGAGCAATGCACCTTTCCTGAGAATGGAAGAGAGGGGTTCCTTCTCCAAGCTTAATGCAGGCTGTAGTTATCAAGGTCTCCAACTTGTCTGTGATGGAGGATTTCTTTGGTCAAGCACCACTAGGTGTCACTCCAGACACTCTTTTTCCTGGGGGCAGGTTCAGACATTCACCTGATTTGGGCTCCATTCCCATTGTAGGATGCTGAAAGGCAGTAGGCCTTGCTGGGAGGGTTCAGTAGGGAACTTAGGAGCGGAAGGATTCCACCATCTGAAACAACAATGCTTTTGAATGCGGCGCATCATAGCATAAAAGCAGCATTTTATGGAAGTGCCCTGTAGGAGCACCTGGGTGAGACACGGATCCTATTTCAGAGGAGACAGTCTTCAATTCAAGGACAGATGTCAAACAGGAGCTCTCCTTTTGAAGATGTCCTCTTCTCAGAAGTCTATCTAGTCCAAGTGCACTTTAAAAATCAAGATCCACAGGGCAAATTGTAGCCAGATCCACACTAGTTTACCTGGAGGAGATGTTTTGCATTTCATTTTAAATTCTAATTCAGCCTAGTTCTTACCCCCCAACTAAGCCAAAATACTCTCCCTTCTTATTTTATGTAGCTTTATATTCTGCCTCTGCTCTAAAAAGTAAAGTGGGGTATTCATGGGGATCTCTTTTCACTTTATCCTCAGAACAACCACCTTGTGAGGTAGATTACCCCAAGAGACTATGAACGGTTCAGAATTACACAGGGAGCTTCTATGGCTAAGGATGGACTTGAACCCCACGCCTAGTTCACCACCTTGACCACTACACAAATGTATTTAGAAATAAATTCAGGGTCTTTGCAACATCCATCCATCCATCCATCCATCCATCCATCCATCCATCCATCCTTTGGTTGAAAGGAATCAGAATTCAACCCCAAACATCTGGTCTCACTCAGGCAAAGAACAGGAGCTAAATTAATTTGGTCTGTTAAAATATCCAAGAAATGAGATCTAATATTGATTCTATAGAGCAGGGTTTCTCAACCTTGGGATCTTGAAGATGTGTGGACTTCAACCCCCAGAAT